AAGAGGAGAAGGAAACAAAGAAAACTGAGAAGTGATGACTAAGGTAGGGAAAAGACAAAGAAATGTACATCACTGTAGCAAGCCATGGAGTGGGGTGTGCTGCTAGGATGTCCTTTCAAGAAACAACTTGCCATTTAGCTGTAAAGAGTACAGTTAACTGACAACCTTCATCTGTTAATAGCCTTAGGATCTGCTTTGCTTTTGTGTCAAGGACAAATAATTCCCTAGCCAATAACAGAGCACACTGTGGGTAGTATGCACTGGCCAACTCTGCCTAACATGGGATTCCTCTAATAAGCGACCTTTGCTCCAGAGGTCCCCGGGGGTTGTCAGATACTTTGTTAAGTCTGCATTATGGTCTTCCCTGCCCAATCCTGCTTCCACACCTCTCATCTTCCGTAGATGTTAGATCTTGGACTGAAGGCTTAACCAAACTTGGTTTCTTCTTCTTGAATCTTTCAGGAGCAATCCCCTCCTCTCAATCAAAAATCTTGCCAGCCTATCTCCAATTCATCTCTTGCAGCCTGGGAGACCACATTAGTCACAAAAGCCAAGAGGAAAGAACGTTTCAGGGAGGAAATGGTCCGGTGTGCTGAGGGTTGCTGAGAAGTCAGGAAAGGAGAGAGAACTAACCAGTGGATTTGGCAAAGTGAAAGTCATTGAGAACCCTGAAGAGTGTACTTTCAGTGGAATGGTGTGAATCAAAGCTTAACTGAAATGCGTTCTGAGGTGAATGACAGACGAGAAATTATACAGATACTTACAGAGAGCTAACTAACTTTGGAACTTCTGCTGTGGGAGAACAACAACAAAAAAGAGGCAACTGAGGGAGATTTAGGGTGAATAAAGGCCTTTTGTTATTCTTACTGTTTAATGAGAGCTACTGACGGATATTAATAAGTTGATTGAAATGAGCCAGTAAAGACGAATGATGACTTGGAGAACAGGGAGAACTGTAGGAGTAAAGCCTTTAAGGCAAGACAGGAAACCTGAACTTGCAAAGCAGAAGAAAAAAATCACAGGAGAAAAAAAAAACCCACAGGTTAGCTTATATAACTTCCAGCTTTAACAAGAGCTGTTAAAGAACAGTACAAGAATTTCAAAAAGTATAATAGAGAAACTTTACTTAGACTAAGGATCCCTGAGGGAGTAAAGTTTGTCAGAAGAGTGAAAATAAAGCACTCCAGGAAGAAGGAATAGCAGGTGCTAAAGCTAAGAGATGGAAAAGAATTTGAATTATTAGAGGACCAAAAAATCAGTTGCTGTGATGAATTAAAGAGAACCAGAACTAGATTATGCAAGATCATGTGGGAAGTAATAAACATTTCAAATCTTAGCTCAAAGCCTAGGGGTTTTAAGTTGGGGAGTTACGTGACTTGATTTGTGATTTTTAGAAAATATTGCTATGTTTGCAGTGGGAGAAAAACAAGCAAAAGATCTGTTGAGAACTGATGGTAATTTGAACTTAGGCGGTTGAATGCATTTATTCACTCATTCAAATAATATATAATAGTAAGTAAAGTACACTGATTCAATATGTATTTTTAGAGGAAGAATCTACAAAACTGGTGCAAGTGGGGTTAAAAGAAAGGAAGTTGAGGCTGGGAAGGAGGTGGATGATAGGAGGTTGCTTCGTGGGTATAATGTATGTCTCTCCTCTGATGGATGCACTGAAGACCCTGACTTCACCATACTACAATATATCACTGTAGCAAAATTGCACTTGTACTCTATGAATAGATACAAAGAAAAAGAAAAAGAAGGAGTTACCAAGGATAACTTCTAGGACTCTGGCTAAGCAATCAACTAAGCAGAACTGCTTGTAATAGCAGAAGTACACCAACTTCCCAGGAGCCCTAGAGACCATCTAGATCCAGCAGCCTCTTTTCTTGGTGGTATATCAAGGCCTTCCCAGTCCCACCTCAACAGTCACATCAAATGAATTGCACAACACAGTCTTATCCAGTGTATTTCTCCCACAATGTTCAACTACCTCATTTTGTGCCTCAGGGAAGGGACTGCCTATTGAAGTTGGAATCTAGTCATGCATATTAATGCTGCTCTCTTGACCTTTACATATAAACTTTACACATGTTTCAGTGACAGAAGACAATTCTTCAGCCTAGCAATTTATTTATGGGCAGTTTCTGAACCTGTTATCACTGACTTCTCCTTCTGGCCTTCATGGGAATTAGAGATCATTACTCATTGCAGTAGGTCCTTGCTCCTGTATCTAAGACAATCATTAAACTCCATAAACAAGATCTTAATACCCCTCAGCCTTTTTTTTTTTTTTTTGACTCCAGATGTCATTCTTTTTGCTCCTATAATTAGACATATCGTTTACATGGAAGCACAACAAATAATCGAGCCCCTATATTCCCTGCAATAAAGTGTCAGAAAAGATGTAGAAAAAAAAATGAGTAAATTAAGCACACTGAAATTACCAAGAGGAAGGGAGAAGGGATGTAACCAATTTTGAAAGTTACAACCAAAAATATAAGGCATCTATCTATCGATCTATCTACTTTTCCATTCAACATCAGTGAGTGTTGCATGCTAAATCAAAGGTAATCTTTATCCCTAATATACTCCAGTAGATTTTAAGAGTAACTCTCTTCCAATGTAAACCCCTGGTGTAACTTAATTATTCAGTAGGAAGTGTCTTAATGTACTTAACACAAATGAATACATGGACTTAAAATAATCCTCCAGAAGTTATTAAATTTATTCCAACATCTAGGCAACAACTGACTCTTTGACTGACTGTTACGTATTGTGGCACTTTCTTGAAAGATCATTTTGGATCCAAACACTTACTAGAGAGTATAAGGCTAGTCTATTCTTGGCCAATTGTAGATTATTAACTATCTACCTCCTTCTTCTATGTTAAGTAACAATGCATATTTTGGAATGGGATTCCACTTTGTATTTGAGAGTTGTTAGAGAAAAGAGTATATGATAAAGTTCATCCAACAGACAACACTGTTTAGAAATTTTGTTTTTGAAGTGACTTTTAATATGCAATTTGAAATGCTGCTTTTCGCCTAGGGCATTCAAATCCACAAATATTTTCAACCACTGCCTACTTGCCAGCCACAGTGTAGAACAGTAAGAATAAAAAGATGGGCAATACAAGATGCCAGTCCTAAAAAAAAAGTCAACAAACTTGATGAACTCAGGAATTCAGTATCTTGTCAGGGCACATAGATGTATATAAAATCATCTATGAGAACCTTATATGTGCTACTACAGCTATCAAACTAGGGCAAGAAAATAATATTGCTGGGAAAGGCTTCATAGAAGAGGAACTATTTGAGAAACATCTGGAAGGAAGACTGGGAGTTCGGTAAGTATAAAAATGGGTCAAGAACATTCTAAGTGGGAGGAACAACTTGTGCTTAGAAACAAAAGGGTATGAACATGTTACTAAAACCAAAGGACATTTCTTCAGACATCACTTTACTTGGCCTCATAGCAGGCTTTGATCTTGATAACCATTCTCTTATCCTTGACACATTTCTCTTAGTTCTGTGCCAGTACTCTCTTAGTTTTCCTCCTATTTCTCAGTTGATGTTAGTACTCTGTGGACTCCTTTTTGTCTCTTAAATTTCATCATTTCCTCAGGATTCAGTCTTTGGTCCTTTTGTCAAAAGTGAAAAGCTCTCTGCTTGGTTGATATCATCCCCTTCCCATTATTTTAATTACCAAATAATCATGACTCTCAAAGCTCTATCTCCAGAACAGATATTTCCTGAGTTTCAGAGGCAAAAAACTAGCTATCTGCTGGCATTTCTTAAGTGTCTTGTGTCCTTCAAACTTGACGCTTTGAAAACTGAATTGTCTTCCTCCCAAAGCCCCGTCTTGCTGTGATACCCCTCTACCTCAGTGAATCAATCTGCCAGTTTTCCAAGCCAAAAACCTGAACATCAGCCTTGATTCCTCTACCTCCATTATACTCACCATTGAGTGAGACCCTATGTCCTGTCAATTTTGCCTTTCACTAGAATATCATCTACTTCTCTTTATCCCAACTGCTAGTGCCCTAATTTATGGTCCCATCACCTCTAGTATAGATTACTACAATATCCTCCTAATTGGCCTCCCTGCCTCCAGTCTTGCTTTTCAGTCTACCCTCCACAATAATATGTCTTATAGCATCTTGCATAACCTGGTTTCTAATCATACTCTGAACTCATCTCTTGCTATTAATCCCTACTTCTTCTATATTTTCAACCATAGTTACACAGTTATCTTGCCTTTAGGTCTTCCTACATAAATTTGTCACTCATAAAATGCTATTTCTATCCTTTTTCTACAATTGCCACTCTACCCGTTAAGCCTAAAATTATACATAGCTTATTTAGAGGAACACTGATTCCTCAATTGCCTCCTCTTATGTGTTCCTATCATCAGAATTTCTATTCCACTGTATTTTACCTTGCTGTTAATTAGTCAGTATCTTCCTAGACTGTAAGCCCACAAAAGCCCTAGACAAGGTGCCTATGCATACTTTGAATGCCTAAAAGCAATCTGTGTTATGACAAAACAAATGAGAAAATAAGTCTTAACACACTTCATCAAAACATTGAGCAACAAGAATGAAAAATGAGTACAAGATGACAAGAGGCATCTTGTGGTTTCCCCTTCTAATACAATCAATCAAACAAATAATATATAAAATGCCATTATCAAAGGACATCAAAACAACAACATAAACGATTATTTGCAAGAGGGCAACTTAATTCAACAAACACTTGAGAGTAGTGAACAACCACAGAAATTAAGTTATTTTTGTCTTTAATTCACTAATTTTGCAAAAATATCGAGGACAATTTTTTGAGAAAGCCGCAAGTGACTTCCCACCCCCTCCAAGGAAACACATTCTAAGACCAATCATTATGTAGAAGTGAGACATTGCTGCATAATAAACTACCCCAAACCTAGTAGCTTAAAACAATAAACATTTACGGCTCTTAACACTACAAGTCAGCTGGAAGCTTTCTCATAATTCTGCAATAGCCTGACAGGTTAATATAATTCTCATAATTATGCTTTCTCGTAATTCTGCAATAGCCTGACAGACTGCCTAAGACTGGCTTATCCAGAATGGCCTCCCTCATGTATATATTGTGGCTGGCTAGCTCTTAGATGGGGTGACAGGTAAGAACACATCCAGCAGACTAGCTCAACCTAATTCTCATGTAGGTTAGGCAGGGTGTTCCATGAACAGAGATGCACACAGCTTTTGGGGCTTAACTTCATACTTGACACACCATCACTTTTGTCACTTCTATCAGCCAAAGCAAGTTATAATGCCAGTCCAGATTCAAAAAGTAAGGAAACAGACTCTACCTCTACAGAGTTATATTGCAAGGGTCACAGATACAGAGAGGGAATAATCAAAGTCATTTTTACAATCAATATCCCACTCACTGCTTGGTACCTAATCTGACCCTACACATGCATCTATCTTGAGCAGTACAATTCAGTATGAGATATTCATATTTATGATTCTCATATAGCGGAAAATTCAGTAACACTCAGTATATCATACGGAGAGAAGAATATTGTAAAAAGCATGCCATGATTAAACAAAGGTTAAAAGATTTGCACTCGATAAATAACTAAATTGTGGCACCATGCCACACTGATTTCAGAGAAGGGTAACTGTACTATACCGCATTCTGTTTATTCACTGAGAGTGCTCTCAACAAGACCTGAGAAAGTTAATAGGACAGTCCATTGAATTACTGGTAACAGGATTCAATTAAACAAGGGCTAAACCAAAGTTAGATCTTTTAAATATATTTTTAAAACTTGCATTTATAAAATTTCAGAAAAGGACCAGGTAATAGACCTTCTCAATACCTGCCCAAACACTTCCCAAACACCACACCTGCTAAACACTTCCCACACACCTGCTACACAGATAAAATTCTCTTCAAAAATTCATAGAATTACTCACTACACCCCTGTACCACTGAGTGGGTGGGTGAGTAGAGCTAAATGAGGAGCTCCTATGGCAAATACACATAAAACTGGCAACCTACTGAAAAGAAAATTAGATGAAAACTTTTATATGTGCAAGCTGATATCACTGAGGTATTTTTCAGCAACCACAAAAACTGTGCTGGACTTGAACAGGTAAATAGAAACCAGGACAAATAACAGATAAGCTTAAAAGCATGCAGATCTTCAAATCCAAGTGATATTACTGGGTGCACTTGATCCTTAGACTATGTGGCCTAGTTTTGCTGGATGACCCTCTAATTTCTGAAAAGTGCTACAGGATCCTCCTGACAACGACCTCTCCTAACTCCAACATGGGAACTCTTAGCATTTCCGATGTGGATTTTGGAGACAAAGATAGAACACTGCGATCTGCCAAGGCTGAAAAGGGTATCACTTTCAAAGGTTAAAAAAATCTCCCCCCTCCCCCTTTTTTATGATGACTACCCAATTATACAAGCCAGGCATGATAACCGGGAGCAGTAAAAGAAGTCTTATGTAGCCATGCTCCAAACTCATGTCCAAACTCAGTGAAAAGGCCCATGAGACACAGCAATGAAATGCATCTTTTGGGGGCTGCACATCGAGTAATTAACCTAGCACAGGGGAAAAAAAAAAAAAAAAAAAAAAAAAAAACGTTAACATAAAAACAAAAATCTAAAAACCTGATGATCTGTTAGCATTTCTTATCAGAAGCTATTTTGTTATTTTAAAATAGTTTAGTTTTTCATTTCTTTTAATTTTACATAAGAACATCAAGCTATACAAGAGATTTATTCTTAAAATTCTGTAGGCAGAACAAAATTTTGTAAAGTGAAACCCATTCTTCCTCTGGGAGCTATTATAAAATCCAGCATGTGTATCTATATATAAGCATGCTCCTGAGACCATGGATTTAGGTTATATTTTTGTGTACCACAATAAAAGTTATAGTGTGATGACTATGTGTGTGATGATACTTATTTTCCATGTGCCCAGCTGATCCAGACTCCAGGTATCTTTTATCAATATCCAGCAATAAAACTATTTCAGCCCTAATTTATTTACAAATCAAAACTAATGTCTTGATTTTTATGTCTGGGGAGAAAATCAAGAAAACAGCTTATTTCAGGAATAGTCACAGTAACAACTACTTTACTATTATTAATTTTGGAGACCCCAGGTTCTAACATCACTTCCCAAAATGAGTCAGAGAAACCTTATAGTGATGTTCCTTGGACATGTCTTTCTCCCAGAAGTCCAATAACAATCTTAGGATGATTCTGACAGTTCTCTGCTGAACTAAATCCCTGGTGAATTACACAGCAGATCTCCACACTAACAGAATCTTTGGTCAAAGTGCAAATTTCAAAAAACATTCCCTTTACCATTTACTCTCAACCCTTGGATTAAACCAGGCAAAACTAGGCCTTATATATTAAACTTGTATAATTAAGTGCATCTTTCTAGTTGATAATTCAGTAGTCATTCAAACAATCAAGTGGCACAGCTATCAAGGATCTTGAGAGTTTGCGTGAGGAAATAAATAAGGATGATCTATAAAAAATGTCAATTGTTTGCAAAAATAGGGTATTTCTAAGACTGAGAAAAATTGCAGGAAAGTTTATTTTAAAAGTATTTTAAACGTTATTTTTATTATAATTACTATATAAATAGTTGTTTGTACCATGAATGAAAAGTATTCTAAGTGAAGAAAAATACAATTAAGTTCATTGTATTTGTCCTGATTTAGGGGTTAAAGAAAAAAAAAATTTATCTCAAATTTTCAAAACAAAAACAAAACAGAGGTAGATTCAACAAGTACTTACTAAATAATACTATGTAATTAATGATATACTATTATGCCTAATTAAAGTATACAGTGATGATAAGTTATTACCACAGGAGGAAAATAAAACTTTAGTAATATACTACTAACAAGTATTTAACGCATATAGCTTTAATTACATAATTTCATTAACATGAAGGATCAGTGGTACTAAACTATTATTTAGTTCACTTTCAATGCATCATTTTAAAATTCAGAGTAAATTAGTGGTTGCTACAGACTAGGGTAAAGGGAAAATGGTGAGTGGCTACTAAGGAATATAGGGTTTCATTTTGGAGAGACAAAAATTTTCTAAAAACTAGATGATGGTAGTACAACTCTGGGAGTATACTAAAAACCACTGAATTGCATACTTGAAATGGTGAATTTTATGGTATGTGAATTGTATCTCAACAAAATTGTTGTAAAACGCAAGTAATGATAACATTTTCATTACCTGAATTCCTGAAAAGAAAATAAGTACTGATTCCATATCTAATATGCTGAATATATTCAAATCTTCTATTTATAAACTGCTTTCTCTATTATCCCCTGAAGGGTTTCTCTAATGATCTAAATATCCACAGGCTTCTAACCACTTTTCAAAAACATAGAAATGACACTAAACAACTGAAGATTTTGACATCTTGATGAACCCATTTTTTAAAAAATGTTTAAATTCCAGTGGGCTACATAATATAAAGACACCTGTTTTCCTGGGAATTAGCAGTTGTAAATACAGACAACATAAGTAATTTCACACATCAAGTTGATGTGTAATAAAATAAATATACTCAAGGTTCTTCTTTCATCAAGATAACAGACTCTAACGATAAATGACTACAGCTCATCTTGTTAAGATCAAAAGGGAATGACTTTTGCAGCAAAATATGTCTGCAAGCTAAACTATTTCACCAGCTCAGTTACTAATGACACAAAAGCAGTCTTACATTAAGCGGTGAAAAAGAAGAAAGAGAAGCTATGTATTCTTAAAAGACGTTAAAAGGAGTTTATCAAGATTGTCAACTGCTTTTTAACATTTATTTAGATTTTAGAATTTTATGTATCCAGAGGAGTATCTCTGAATTGTGCTGACAACACAATAAATTTTTCATTAACTGTAAGTGCTCTGCAGATATTTCAAACCCACAAAAACTATATTAACAGTTCCTTCTTATTCCCACCTTATAATACCAAAGTCAATTTACCACTATTGAAATACCCAGAAAGAACAAGATCTGTAAGATTTTGATCTTTTGTTGTTATATAAAATGTCATGTAAAGTGGTTCAGTTTATTATAATGTTATTTCTAAAAGGCTATGTAATAATTTATTTTGTATCTAAATCTTAACTACATAACTACAGATGTTTATGCATAAAAACATGAGCTATACTTAAATTGCCTTTGAAATAAAACAACTAGAAAAGTATCAACATCAATAGAAAAACTTTTTTAAGCCGTAATCCAGAAGTACTCAGATGAAAAAAGGTTTTTAAAAAAGGGTTATAAGTGAAAACTGTAATTAAAGTATAAATGGATAACTTCATTCTTTTTTATATCATAAATTTTATCAGATCCTATACAAATGTGATACCAATGGGAGTCTCACAATTTCATCTTAGGAAAGGAAGCAAAATTATTTTTCTATCTGCAGTCTAAAAAGCTAAGTTTCCTGTAAAAAGATCTAACTTGTCCACATTTGATAGATAAAGAGACTTAAGTCTCAAAGCCATTAATTAACTTGCAGGTTTCAAATCTAAGTTTTCTGATTTTTCTAGAATGTCATTTTTTTTTTCTTTTGAGACACAGTCTCACTCTGTCAGCCAGGCTGGAGTGCAGTGTTGCCATCTTGGTTCACTGCAACCTCTGCCTCCCAGTTCAAGATATTTTTGTGCCTTAGCCTCCCAAGTAGCTAGGAACATAGGCATGTGCTACCACATCCAGCTAACTTTTATATTTTTAATAGAGGTTTTGCCAGTTGACTAGGCTGGTCTCAAGTGATCCACCTGCCTTGGCTTCCCAAAGTGCTGAGATAACAGGCATGAGCCAACACAGCCAGCCTAGCATGTCATTTTAAAAAAACAAAGAAAATTTTTTCCTTAACGACATAAAATTTAACATGCATTTGATGTCACCTCCTCATACGTAGACCCCAGGACCACGAGAGACCATCATGGTATCTACCTGGAATGCCGCAAATGCCTCTTTTTTCCTTGTCACTATTTCCTTCAGCCTTAATTCTCTAAATCCTTCAGTCTTAATTCTCT